CTACCTCGACCGGCTCGACAGGGTCTACCTGGGACACACCCGAAGGGGCAGGACCCTGAGGGGGGAGGGGGTCTACCAGGGGAGCACCTGGCAAGAGGAAGAGCGGCGGGGGGGGGAGAGGGGTAGTGCGGTAGGGAAAGAGACGGTAGTAGGAGACCGACTCGTCAAACGTGACGTCCTGAGAGGACAGAACACGGCGCGAGGTGGGGTGGTAAAACTGCCACCCAGGCGCGTCAGGGGGGAAGCCAAGGAAAACGCAGGGAACAGCACGAGAGGACAGCTTGTCCGCGGAAGTATCACGGACAAAAGCTCGAGAACCCCAGACACGAAACACAGACGCATCACCAACCTTCCCCGTCCACCGCAGAGTAGGTATGGTCTCCGGCAAGTAGACACGAGGCTGAAGGTTGATCTGATGCGCAGCGTACTGAACAGCGAACGGCCACAGAAAATGGGGAGCAGCCGCATGGATCATGGACGTGCGAGCAACGTCCATGACCATGCCAATGCGGCGCTCAGCAATCCCATTTTGCTGCGGAGAGGCCGGAAGCGTGAATGTCTGGCGGATGCCCTCCGCACGACAGAAAGCCCTCAGAAGGTCGGAGGAAAACTCACCACCTCTGTCTGAGTGCAGACGCAGAACGGGAAAGTCCGAGCCGAAACTCTCTCTAAGCTGGTGACGAGCAGCGCGGATCCAGTCGATCAACACCTCAGTGACCTCACCCTTGCGGCGCAAGGGGAAGACTGTGGTGTAGCGCGAGTAGTCGTCAACGACCAGCAGGAAGTAACGCTCGTGACCCTGTCCACGGACGCGGGCTGGGCCCCACACGTCCATGTGGAGAGTCTGCAGAGGAGCCTCTGTCGGAGGAAACCCAGAGGAGTGAGGGGCGGCGCGCTGCCGGCCCTCAACACAAGGAACACAGGTGGGGGCAGGCCCCGGAGGAAGGGGAGGGAGGGACTCGGGGAGACCTGAGACAAGGACACGGGAGGCCATACCTCGAAGACGAGGCAGGGAGACTCCGGACGTGAGATCGAACGGGGAGACTCCGTCCTTGGAGTCGCACTGGAGAAAGAGCTGTAGGTCGTCTACCCAAACCTCGAAGTCAACAGCACGACCCTCAGCATCAAAGGTAAGAACAGTAGGACTAGCCATAGTGGCAGCAGTAGCAGCAGTAATTCGGGAAGCGAACTCAGGTGTGCGGTAAGCGAGTTCAGGCGTGCCGGAAGCGAACCCAGGTGTGCGGTAAACGAGCTCAAGTGTGCCGGAAGCGAACTCAGGTGTGCGGTAAGCGAGCTCAGGCCTGTCGGAAGCGAACTCAGGTGTGCGGTAAGCGAGCTCAGGCGCGCCAGAAGCGAACTCAGGTGTGCGGTAAGCGAGCTCAGGCGTGCCGGAAGCGAACTCAGGCAAACCCTAAAACGTCGCCCGACGGTGCTGGGCAGCGCGGGTAGGGCAGGTGCTCACCAGGGGCGGGTAGGGCAGGTGCCACCTGTGACGTGTAGGGCAGGGCCGCAGCTGGCGGTTAGGTCAGGGCCGCGACTGGGGCGGCAGCAGGGCAGGGCCGCGACTGGGCGGCGGTAGAGCAGGGCCGCGACTGGGCGGCAGCAGGGCAGGTCCGCGACGAGTAGCGGCAGGGCAGAGGCCGCGACGAGCGGCAAGGTCGGGGCCGCGACGAGGGGCGACAGGGTAGGGCCGCGGGTGGCGGCAGGGCAGGGCCGCGACTAGGCGGCTAGGTCGGGGCCGCGACGAGGCGGCGACAGGGCAAGGCCGCGACGGGCCGAGAAGGCAGGGGGCCGCGACGGGCCGTTAGGGCAGGGCCGCGACGGGCCGAGAAGGCAGGGCCGCGACGGGCGGCACTAGGGCAGGGCGCGCGACGGCGCAGGTGAGGCAGGCGCGGGGCGCACTTCGGGTAGGGCAGGAAAAAAAAAGGGTTTTAATCGTGGTGGGCCCTAAAAAAAACGTTCCCATGAGGGAACCTGCACAGAATACCATGTCAGAATGAGAACGAATGAATGATTAGACTAACAAGCAGTTTGGGTACAAGTAGGGAACCTAGAAATGTTGTACCCCATATTGTCTACCCCACTACAGCCTACACAGACTATAGCATATATGTTTGACACAGCCCGCTACTAACAGGCCTATTTACCCACGGGTATCAGACAGGCCCTTTCTTTACCGGAGGCAACTCGCAGCAGTTCGCAGCAGCAAAAGGGGTGTATTACGTAAAAGCCGGCACCGACCGCATCTGGGTACCGGGCTACACTTTACTAAGGGAACTGTTACTACAGGAGGCACACGACGGGGTTACCTCAGGACATTTCGGGGTAGATAAAACACGGCAGCAGCTGCAGCGGTATTACTACTGGCCCGAGATGCTGACCGACGTGCAACGACACGTGGCATCGTGTCCCACCTGCCAGCTCATGAAGTTGTCACGACAACGACCGGCAGGACAGTTGCAGCCGATACCACCCCAGAGCGTGCTTGGCAGCAAGTGACGATGGACTTCGTCACGGGGTTACCGGCTGGAGTAAGTGGGAACGACGCGATCCTAGTCGTCCTCGATCGGCTGACGAAAATGGCACACTTCGCAGCCTGCAAGAAATCAATCACGGCCGAAGAAACGGCCCGCCTCTTCATCTCCACCGTCGTTCGACTGCACGGGATACCATCATCAATTATCAGCGACCGCGACACGAAATTCACCAGCAACTTCTGGCGAAACCTGTGGCAGCAGTTCGGCACACGACTACAGTTCAGTTCATCATACCACCCCGAAACCGACGGACAGACAGAACGGACAAATCAGACCATGGAACAACTCATCCGAGCCATGTGCGACGACCCGACCACGTGGGAACAGCAACTGCCACTCATCGAGTTCGCGTACAACAACTCGCCATCTGCCACGACCCAACAGTCACCGTTTTACCTGAACTACGAACAAGACCCCACAGTACCCATGACCCCGAATCCCGACAACCCAGTCCCACGCGCGCAACCGTTCGCAGAAATATTGCAAGCAGCGCGGACCCGAGCAGCAGAAGCAATAAAAAAATCAAACGTCATCGCTAAGCGCAACGCCGACCGACACCGCCACCCCGTCACTTACCAACCCGACGACCTGGTATTACTCGACACTCAAAACCTCCGCCTGCCCATCACCCCAAAACTCCGCCCCCGATATTGCGGGCCATTTCGCATCAGCCACATGATCACACCCGTCACCGCCCATCTCCTCCTCCCTGCTGACTGGTACGTCAGCCCGTCATTCCATGTCAGCCTGCTTCGCCCATACGTGCCATCCACCAGCCAACTGCCTCGCAACCGCCCTGCCAGCATGATACGACCGCCAACAGAGCCAATCATCACGCCCGAAAAAATACTGAGCCACCGAGTACCCCACGGGGAGCCCGCAGGATCGAATTCCTGATCCGCTGGAAAGACCACACGCCCACCGAAGACAACCGGGTCCTTCAGGATAGAGTTGAAAATCACCATGTCCTCACTTAGTATCTGCGCAGCCGAAACTTTCGCGATGTACACGCGCTCTCATAAGGAGGGCCTCCTTGGGGGGGGGGGGGGGGGTAGTGTAAGGAAAATTCCTTTTCCTTACTTCGCGCCCCTGCTTACCGCGTACAAGACCATGTCAGAATGTGATGTGTGTGTAGCCTGCAGTGGGGTACTCTGTAGCGAGTACAGCCCGAATTAGGGTTTGCTATATGTACTCTACTGCATGCTAGTGAAAACCCCTCTTTCGTGTTTATCATTCTTGCCTCTTGATTCTGACAGACCATTCCCGCCATCGGCACCGAAACAGTGAAACGTTACCCGCTCGCGACACTCGCCTCGACTACGACTCCCGCCACCGCTCACGATGCGACCCAACCTCACGGTTCGGCTGGTAACCCGCGCTCCGGACCTCCGCCTCGACATTTCCCAACCTCGGCGCTAGGCCCGTAGCGCACCCCATTATCTCGCGTTACCGTTACCACTCTAGTTCGCTATATATTCTTCGCGCATGCCTTCGCTCATTGTATTGTTTTGCTTCGATAGTGCAACTCTCGCTCGTTCACTCAATTGCACTCGTAACAGTGTGTCTCAATCGACTCCGTAAATTTTCATTCCATGAATCACGCGATTCACGTTTCGGCAAGATCAAGCCGCCGTAGCTGCGCTGCTTGTTTCTTCCGACACTCCTGCGTCTGTTTTTTTCCGACAACCGTATTACCGCGGCTCGCGTTCACGTAGTTAAGTTTCGAGTCGCTTCAAAACCAACCAATCGCCCTGTTCTGCCTCGTGGTCACTCCAATCAACTCCCGCAGCTGCTGCTGCTGGTGCTGCTGGTGCCGCTGCTGCGGCTGCTGCTGCCGCTCATTCGTCCATACGTGCGACGATCGTAACTGTCAGCTTCTACTTAGCCAGTCAGCTGCTTTTTAGACGCCTCTAGAGCTTCGTAGTTACTACTCAGCGCGTCGCGATGTACGGAATGGGAGGGCCGATGCACTACCAGCAGCACCACCCCTCACCCTTCACACACGGCCACATTCCCCACCGCTACCCCACTCCCCCGCACCCCGGCGCAACCGGATTTGCGCAATACCCCGGCGGACCTCCCGCGCAGCCTCCGCTTCCGCACCCGCAGCAGCAGGCGCAGCAGCAGCAGGCGCAAGCGCAGCTACAGCAGCAGCAGCAGCAGCTGCAGCTACAGCAGTCGCAGGGACAGGGGCAGGGCCAGGCGCAAGGGCAGTCGCAGCAGCCGCCGGCACCCGCGCCGCTGCCGTCGCAACTAAGAGCGGGAAAGGACCCTTTTAGGAATCTGTACAGCCGAGAGTTTGTTGGGCACAAGAAGAAGGTACGAGACACGTGGACCAATGAGAGAGTAGGATGCATTTGGGAAGTGGGAGGCAGGTGGGGAACACGTGGGGCCCACGTAGGAGAGTGAGGGACTAGGAGTGTGCTGGGAGCATGGGGCCTTGTGGGAATACGGAGATGACAGATGACGTTACGCAGAACGGAAGGTAGAGAGGTGGAAGAGGCAAGGGATTCTAGGTCAATTTGGCAAAGAATTCGTTCCAAAGGAAGGGAAGGGAATGCATTTCTTATGTGTTCCTTTTTTGTGATTTTATTTCTACGAACCAGGTGCATTCGGTGGTGTGGAACTGCCTCGGGGAGAAGCTCGGGTCAGGTTCGGTGGACCAAACCATCCGCGTGTGGCAAGTGGATCCCAGCGGCCAATCAAACTCCGTGAGTCATCCCGGTAACTCCCTATTTCATTTGTAACGTTTCATCGCAGTGTAACACCCCATCCCAGTGTAACACCCCATCCCAGTGTAACGTTTATGATCGGACCAACTTCGGGCCTCCATCCATCCTCCCCATTCCTCCCGTCCTTGTCGTGCCGTGCCGTTCACGTGATGTGCCATGGTGCAGAGCAAGCAGCGGGAGGTGGAGCTGAGGGGCCACAGTGAGAGCGTGGACAACCTGTGCTGGGACCCTCTCCACCCTGACCTCCTCGCGTCTGCTTCGCAAGACAAGTCCGTGCGCATCTGGGACACACGATGTGAGTGCAGGGGGGTATGGGATGGGATGGGAGTGAAGGTAGCACACTGTAACGTGATGATGTTTAAAAAGATTCGGTTATGCTCATTCAAACACATGCACGCTCATCATGCACACGCATGCCCGCAGTCATGCCATGCAGTTTATTTTTTACTTCCTTACGCACAAGTGCTGCTGTCTTCTGTCCGCTGTATGTCACTACGGTTGCCATGTCAGCTGGCAGGTGTCAGCAGAGTGTGACTCTAAAGGGCGAGAACATCAACGTCACGTACAAGCCCGATGGCACGCACATCGCCGTGGGCAACAGCGTGAGTGGGCTGTATTGTAACGTGTATGTGCTCTATTGTGATGGAATATAATATGCTGTACTGTAATGTGAATATGCTGTACGGTGAGTGCGCTTCTCGTTTTAGTACCGCTCACAACAGTAGTGTCATGAGCCGACATGCTATGGATGGATCACTCACTTACGCCTTTAAATGCGTGTTCATGCTGGCTGATTCGTGATACATGACACATGCTGTCTGCTGCTTGCCCACGTTGCGTGCTGCATGATACATGATACATGCTGCCTGCATGGTGCATGGTGGATGTTTCATGGTACATGCTGCATGCAGGCGGACGAGTTGACCATTCTGGACGTCAGAAAGCTCAAGCCCATCCACAAGCGCAAGTTCACATATGAGGTCAGTCAGTGTGACCCAGGTCAGTCACTTACGAGGTCAGTCACCTACTTGGTCAGTCGCCTACGAGGACCGTCTGTTGCGGTTGGATTTCGTCCCAGATTCTCACAACCACAATGCCGTTTTTACTTGCACACTGACACCTCCGTCTATTCCGCCTCTCGACCGCATCCTCCTTCTCACCTCTCGCTTCCACCCACCATTCAGCCCCACTTCTCAGCTGTCTCCGAGCTGTCTAGTTGCCACTCACTGCCTCGTTGCGTCTCTCCCCTTGCCTGCAGCTAAACGAGTTTGCATGGGATCGAACAGGGTCCATCTTCCTTGTCACAACTGGCACAGGTGAGCTCTGGTGCAAAGGCGTGCAATGTGGTGCAAAACGGTGGGGCTGTGGTGCACTGGTGAGCTGCGGGACTGAGCACCTGTTTGTTTGCATCAACCCGACCCCTGATGTTGACGCAACTTCCTTTTTCACCTCCACTTCTCACCACACCTCAACTCTCCCCCACACGTCCACTTATGTCAACTCTCCTCCACTTAAGACAAATTGCCTGCTGCTTTGGGAACTGATTACCCACTTGTTTGCTATGGCGTCTTATCCAACCCGGACCCCAATGTTGGCTTAATTTCCATTCACACGTTAACTTCCCTCCACACTTCAAAATTGCAGGCGCAGTGGAGGTTTTGGGTTACCCCTCCCTGCAGACACTAGACACCCTGCAGGCGCACACAGCAGGGGTGTATTCTCTGGCCATTGACCCCCTTGGCAGGTGCGTGCGTTTGAGGCGTTGCAGAAGGTAGGTGGTAGATTGGGGGTGCGTGTGGGATTGTGTGAGGGGAACGTGTGAGGGGAATGTGTGTGTGTGGAAGTGCATGTGGGAGTGTGTGAGGGGACGTGTGTGGGAGTGCGTGTGGGGGTGCATGTGGGAGTGCGATGTTTTAGTCGACTAACAAACGAAGTGAATGAGTGGGGGTTTGTGTGGGAGTGTGTGAGGTTGTATAAAAGGGTGCAGTTACAATTCACATGTGATCCTCTGCTGTATGGCTTCCTGTCTGCTTATCCAAAAAAACACCTTTTTCATCTCCTTCCACTTCTTCCATTAAGTACATTGTTTCTCTCCTCCTTCTGGGTTCTCTTATTTTCTTATCCCCTTCCCTTTCTTCACCTTCCCGTTCCCCATAAGCTTCCTCATCCCCATCTCCGTTCTTTCCCCTTCGCATTTTCCATCACCATCACCATTGCAGGTACTTTGCAGCGGGCAGTGCAGATGCATTGGTCAGCCTGTGGGACATGCAGCACATGCTGTGTGTGCGCACCTTCACACGCCTTGAGTGAGTATCAAGTGCAAGTGTGGAGCACTGATGTGGTGTGTGCACCATGCATGCAGCACTTGCTGTGTGTGCGCACCTTCACACGCCTTGAGTGAGTATCAAGTGCAAGTGTGGAGCACTGATGTGGTGTGTGCACCATGCATGCAGCACATGCTGTGTGTGCGCACCTTCACACGCCTTGAGTGAGTAGCACCTTCACACGGGTCGAGTGAGTAGCACCTTTACACGCCTCGAGTGGGGAGCACCTTCACACGCCTCGAGTGGGGAGCACCTTCACACGCCTCGAGTGGGGAGCACCTTCACACACATTCCTTCCCGCTTCAGTCAATGTGCCTCCCTTCCCCTCTTCTCCACCCTCCCTTGATGCCCTGTGCACGCTGTGAGGTTTAACCAACATTCCGGTTTCCGACCCCTTCCTTCCACCCACATGCCACATGCCCTCCTCCCCCACCCACATGCCCTCCTCCCCCACCCACATGCCCTCCTCCCCCACCCACATGCCCCTCCTCCCCCACCCACATGCCCCCCTCCCCCACCCACATGCCCCCCTCCCCCACCCTCCCCCACCTGCAGATGGCCGGTGCGCACTGTGAGCTTCAGTCACGATGGGCGGTACCTCGCGTCCGCTAGTGAAGACCTTTTTGTTGACATTGTAAGGCGTGCAGTGTTGAGAGGCTTGCAGCAGTGAGACACATGCAGCAATGCGACATATGCAGCATGCATGTATACTGCTGTATCTTGTGAGCACATTGTGCATGAACGACCTATGTGCACACACCACACCATGCATCTGTCACACATACCATCACCTTCGCCCCTTTCTCCTGTCCTTCCTCGTTCCTTACCCTCTCCTGTCCTTCCTCGTCCCTTACCCTCTCCTGCCTCCCAACCTTTCTAATCTTGGCACGAAGTCCCTCCCATGATCTATTCCACCCCCTTCCTGATGCAACTCACCCCTTCCTGACTCTCAGCTAGGCGAGTCGGAAACCACACACCTTCCGGTCATGAAAAAAAGTAAACCACAATCTCTAGATCCTACGCATCCCATCCATCCCTCTCGCTCTCTCATTATCCCCACTTCTTTTACCCTGCCGCCCCACCTTCTCCTCCCCATCCCCTGCACCCCAGGCCGAGGTGGAGACGGGGCGGTCGGTGCATCAGATTCCATCGTGGGCGGCAATGAACAGTGTGGAGTGGAACCCCAAGATGACTTTTAAGTCTGACTCAAACTCTCTCTCCTCCCCATCCCATCCCTTCCACCCCACCCCACAACAGGCGGAGGTGGAGACGGGGCGGTCGGTGCATCAGATTCCATCGTGGGCGGCAATGAACAGTGTGGAGTGGAACCCCAAGATGACTTTTAAGTCTGACTCAAACTCTCTCTCCTCCCCATCCCATCCCTTCCACCCCACCCCACAACAGGCGGAGGTGGAGACGGGGCGGTCGGTGCATCAGATTCCATCGTGGGCGGCAATGAACAGTGTGGAGTGGAACCCCAAGATGACTTCTAAGTCTGACTCAAACTCTCTCTCCTCCCCATCCCATCCCTTCCACCCCACCCCACAACAGGCGGAGGTGGAGACGGGGCGGTCGGTGCATCAGATCCCATCCTGGGCGGCGATGAACAGTGTCGAGTGGAACCCCAAGCACCTGCTGCTCGCATATGCCTCTGACGACGACGGCAAGCACTCGTCCCCGGGTGAGCAATACTGCTGCCACTCTACTCGGTTGCCCTAACAGCAGTGCGCTTCCATTCCCCCTCACTTCATTCCTCCTTACTTCATTTCCCCTCACTTCCATTCCCCCTCACTTCATTTCCCCCCACTTCCATTCCTCGTCACTTCTTTCCCCCTCACTTCATTTCCCCCCACTTCCATTCCTCGTCACTTCATTCCCCCTCACTTCATTCCCCCTCACTTCATTTCCCTCCACTTCCATTCCCCGTTACTTCATTCCCGCTCACTTCATTGCTGATCTACGCCTCCGCAAGTAGCCTCAAAATGAGGCGATTTTTTACTAGCTTGAAATAAATAGTGGAACCCCAAGCACCTGCTGCTGACATTTGGAGCAGAGTATGTGGTGTGGCATGACATGACACCTAGAGTGTGGAGTGCAGTGTGGAGTGGCTTTCGCTGTGTGAACTGGAAGGGTTGTGGCTCCTTTATCTTCAATAATACTGAACCGTACACGGTTACTGATCCCCCCTCCTTGTCGCAGGTGTCTTCCGTGTCTTTGGGTTTGATTCGCCTTAATTCTAGAGTGCGATTAGTTATTTTCATTAGAGCATTGTTTTTCCGTTATCAGCGTGTCTTCGCATCACATCCAGTTAGGTGCTGGTATGTTGGCATTTTCTGCTACGTTTGGTCCATGTGATGTTTGATGCATTACATGGGGATGCTATAAAGCTGCAACATTGTTGGCAAATTGCTTCCACTGTTATAGTTGTGCTGTATGATTTCCCTTCCAACCAATGGATGCTCATCAGGGGTATCTATGCACTGCTTTGGTGAATGCGTTCCAAAAAAGGCTGCACCATGGCGTTTGTAGGATGCCAGCCCAGTGAGATAAATATTAAACAGCATATTTTGTCAAACTGTATGTTTGTGTTCTCTCTAGGCTATGGAGGGTTAGCCTACAAGGGGTACAACACTTAAGGGTTAGGAACTTGTACTCATGCATGCTACCTAGTCCATCATTCCTGCCTGCTTATTCTAACATGGTATTAGAGCAGAATCGTTGCTAGGGCCCACCGAACGCTCCGCCCTGCCCTACCCGTAAAATCTTTCTTCCGCAGCCGCGCTGCCCTTGCAGCCCCCGCGCTGCCCCTGCGACCGCGCTGCCCCAGCAGCCGTGCTCGCCCCTGCGACCGCGCTGCCCCTGCAGCCGTACTCGCCCCTGCGACCGTGCTGCCCCTGCAGCCGTGCCTGCCCCTGCGACCGTGCTGCCCCTGCAGCCGTGCCTGCCCCTGTGGCCCGCGTGCTGCCCCTGCAGCCCACGCGTTCGCCCCTGCAGCCCGTGGGCGCTGCCTCTGCAGCCCGCGCGCCGCCCTGCCGAGCCGCGCGTTGCCCCTGCAGCCCGTGGGCGCTGCCCCTGCAGCCCGTACGCCGCCCTGCCGAGCCGCGCGTCGCCCCTGCAGCCCGTGGGCGCTGCCCCTGCTGCCCGCGCGCCGCCCTGCCGAGCTGAGCGTCGCCCGTGCAGCCTGGGCGCCGCCCTGCCGAGCCGTTCGCCGCCCCTACAGCCCGCGCGCCGCCCTGCCGAGCCGCGCGTCGCCCCTGCAGCCCGTGGGCGCTGCCTCTGCAGCCCGCGCGCAACCCTAAACCCTACAAAAAAAAAAAAAAAAAAAAAAAAAAAACTACAGCTGCTGCTACTACTGCTGCTGCTTCTACTCGTGCTACTGCTACTGCTGGTGGAGGTGCTGCTGGGAGTGCAGGAGGTGCGGCCGCCCAGCCCCACCGAGCCGCCCTGCTACTGCTACTACTGCTGCTGCTGGTGGAGGTGCTGCTGGTGCTGGAGGAGCTGGAGGTGCTGGACCTACTCCTGACCATCGCTGTCTGTCATGGCCACTATCGCGGCAGTTGCTGCGGCCAGGGGTGGACAGCAGCGGGCACTGCCTCTCCCGGACGACCCCACCCCTCAGCAGCTTCGTGAGTGGGTTGTTCAGCGAGGTAGGCCTGGTGGTGGAGGTTATGATTTTAAGTGGCCTAAGCGACGTCGCGACTGTGCTTCTCAGCGATGCATCCCTGGCTGTGTAGAGGTTCCTCCTCTCGGTTCTAGTGAGTCTGCTGCCGCCCCAGGTGCTAGTGAGTCTGCTGCCGCTCCAGGTACTAGTGAGTCTGCTGCAGCTCTAGGTGCCCGTGAGTCTACCGACGCTCTAGGTGCTAGTGCGTCTACTGCCACAGGTCCTGCCTCAGCTGAGGTCTTGCACACTTTCACGCTTGACTCAGGCGCGTCACGTTGCTTCTTTCGTGATTGCACCTCTGGGGGCCCAGTAGTTGCGAGAGCCTCCACGGTCCTCCCTTGTCCAGCAGTCCCCTCCGGCTCTCTGTCAAATCTCCACCTCCCCACGTTCTCGACGAACTTGGTGAGCAACGCTGCCATTCAGGATGTCTGGGTTGATACATTTATTCATAGAGGGCAGCGTGTGGCGATCTGTACGTGCTCCCGGACTGGCCGTCACCTGGCTACGTTCACTCGACAGCCTGGGTCTAGTCTGTACACACTGACCACTGCGTCTGCACATGTGGCTGAGTCAGGTCAGGTGGCCGCGTCAAGTCGGGCGTCTGCGTCGGGACAGTTAGCTGCGTCTTGCTCGTGCAGAGTACTCACGCACGAGACTCAGCGCTGGCACCACCGTCTTGGTCACCCCTCCCTGCCGCGTCTACGTGGCATGCACTCCCGTCTCCTTGTCTCTGGCCTCCCCAGGACCCTGCCCCCCCTGCCGCGCTCGCTTGCCCCGCCGTGCCTTCCTTGCGTCGAGGGGCGGCAGCGCGCCGCTCCTCACTCCTCCAAGTTTCCTCCGACCACTGCTCCTCTGCAGACTCTCCACATGGATGTGTGGGGCCCGGCCCCCATTGGTGGAACGGACCGCGAGCACTACTTCCTGCTGGTTGTTGACGACTACACACGCTATATCACTGTCTTCCCCTTGCGTCGCAAGGCGGATGTCAGCGGTGTCCTGATCCCCTGGATCCGTGCTACTCGTCTCCAGCTGCACGAGCGGTTTGAGCAGGACTTCCCAGTCCTGCGTCTGCACTCCGACAGGGGCGGTGAGTTCTCCTCTGACCTCCTTGCGGGGTTTTGTCGAGACGAGGGCATCCGCCAGACGTTCACGCTTCCGGCCTCTCCTCAGCAGAATGGGATTGCTGAGCGCCGCATTGGCTTGATCATGGAGGTTGCTCGCACCTCCATGATCCATGCGGCTGCTCCCCATTTTCTGTGGCCGTTTGCGGTCCGATATGCTGCGCATCAGCTCAACCTCTGGCCTCGTGTCTCTGTGCCAGAGACCTCGCCCACCCTCCGGTGGACGGGGAAGGCCGGTGATGCGTCAGTGTTTTGGGTCTGGGGCGCGCTCTCCCTTGTTCGCGATGCCAAAGCGAGCAAGCTCTCCTCTCGCACTCTCTGCTGCGTCTTCCTTGGCTTCCCCACCGTGGCCCCGCCGTGGCAGTTCTACCACCCGCCCTCGCGTCGAGACTTCGCCTCCCAGGACGTCACCTTTGACGAGTCTGTCTGCTTCTACCAGCTGCACCCGCACGCGTCCCACCCGATCCCCCTTGCACCCCTCTTCCTGGTACCAGTCCCCCCCCCCGGTAGACCCCCTCCCCCCACAGGGTCCTGCTCCCTCAGGTGTGTCTTAGGTCGACCCACCCCCCTTGGATGAGCCAGTGGAGATCTCTTCTGACTCCTCTGGCCCAGCTGAGGGGGGTGACCCAGTTGCGGACGACACGGCAGCCACTCGCCGCTCTCCTCGCTTGGAGACCCCCCCGGGTTTTCCGACTCGACCGTCTTCGCCCCCTCCGCAGCCTGCTGCTGTGGACTCTGGAGCTGAGACTACACGTGCTGAGACAGAGGGTGAGGGCTCTGGAGGTGCTGTGCCTGGGGGTGCTGGTTCTGGGGGTGCTGCGACTGGGGGTGCTGACTCTGGGGGTGCTGCGAGTCCTAGTGGCGGTGGAGTTGTGGGTGACCCTGTTGGAGGTCCTGGAGCTGGAGGTACTAGAGGTGCTTCTGGTGCTGGAGGTGCTAGAGCTACCACTACTGGAGGTGCTGGAGCTGGACAGCCACCGCAGCCTGCTCTACTTGAGACACTCTCGCCGCAGGCGATTCGTGCGTGGGTCGTTCGGCGAGGCAGTCCTGGTGGTGGAGGGTACAGTCCTGCTGGTGCTGGAGCTACTAGTCCTAGAGGTGCTGGAGGTACTGCTGGAGGTGCTAGAGGTGCTGTTGGTGCTGGAGGTACTGGAGCTGCTAGTCCTGGAGGTACTGCTGGAGGTACTGGAGCTGCTGCTGCTGCTGGAGGTACTGGAGCTGCTAGTCCTGGAGGTGCTGCTGGTGCTGGAGGTACTGGAGCTGGAGGTACTGGAGCTACTGCTGCTGGAGGTACTGCGGGTACTAGAGCTGCTGGCACTGGAGGTGCTGGTGCTACTGGTGCTGGAGTTGCGGGAGCTGCTGGTCCTGGAGGTGCTCGCACTAGAGGTACTTGAGCTGCCGGAGCTGGTGGTGCTGCTCGTACTGGAGGTGCTACTGGAGCTGCTGACCCTGGAGGTGCTGGAGTTGCTGGTGCTGGAGGCGCTGGAGCTCGAGGCACTGGAGGTACTGGAGCTGCTGGTCCTGGAGGTGCTCGTACTAGAGGTACTGGAGCTGCCGGAGCAGGTGGTACTGCTGGTGCTGGAGGTGCTGGAGGTGCTACTGGAGCTGCTGGCACTGGAGGTGCTAGAGGTACTACTGGTGCTGGAGGCGCTGGAGCTGGAGCTGGAGGTACTGGAGGTGCTGGAGCTGCGGGTCCTGGAGGTACTCGTACCAGAGGTGCTGGAGCTGCCGGAGCAGGTGGTACTACTGGTGCTGGAGGTGCTGGAGGTGCTACTGGAGCTGCTGGCACTGGAGGTGCTGGAGGTACTGCTGGTGCTAGAGGTGCTGGAGCTGCCGGAGCTAGTGGTGCTGGAGGTGCTGGAGGTGCTGGTGCTACTGGTGCTGGAGGTGCTGCTGGGAGTGCAGGTGGAGCTGCTCGTGCTGGAGGTACGGGAGCTGCTGGTGCACTTCGCCACCTTCTCAGTCTTCCGCCAGGTGCTACTGACTTCCCTGTGGCAGGTACTACTCCTCCGTTACTGTTTCCACCGGCCGACCAGTCTCAGCTGCCACTGCTACCGCAGTCCCCACAGCCTGCTCCTACTCCTTACACTGCGGTGACACAGTCCCTGTCTGAGCGTCGAGAGCCTGAGGCTCGTGCTTCCACCCCTGAGCGTCGAGAGCCTGAGTCTAGCTTTGACCTTGAGCCTGAGCCTAGAGCTGCTGTCCGTGCTCGTGTTCCTCGTGTTTGTCGTCCGCGTGCTCCGACTGTCCCAGGCACTCACGATATGACACTCCGTCCTTCCTCTGTTCCACAGCGTGTTGTCCTGCCCTTAACTCCTGCGTCCTCTCTTCCTGACGTTGCTGACCCTCCGTCTGACCTTGCTCGTGCGTTGAGTCCGACTGTTACTCGCTTTCTTGCTACGGTGGTGACTGACCCTTCGTTCTCGTCTCCTGCTGCGTCTGCCTTAGTCGC